GTCCTCTGGGTGGGCTCTGTGGGGGGGGGTATCGCAGCCTGCTCCTCTCTGCCTGCTGCTGCTGCGCTCTGTCTCTATCCACACAACTTTTCCCCGCCTTTCAGAGACTTATTGCTGGGTCAAACTCTAAGTTACAAACTGTACACATTGCATTCTTGCTAATTAGCCAAACTATGAACGGAATAAGTAGCAAGCATCGTAACAAACAGAGTAAAATAAATAGGGACAACAGCTTGTCAATGTCAACTAACCATTCAGAAACGTCCTGCTGCAACCGAGATGTTTGCACCTCCACCAAAACCTCCGCTGCTTCAGGGTCAGTTTCTGGATCAAATTGATAATATGCTTGAACACATGCATTGCTCTGAGATGACATGTTCCACACTCGTAATCACAGCAAACATGGTAGTGACTCTCGCCGGCTCATGCCCCCCTCTTCTGCAGGGGGGCGTGGTCAGCTGCTGCTCAGAATTTTCAAAGACAGGCTTGGAATAGAGCGAAAATGAGCGAAACGAGGCATGGCTAAAAAATTATCTGTTTGGTATTTTGAAAAATAAAATGTATAAATATACCTTAAATAGGTATGGTCATACACGATATCATTTAAATATAGCATGATAGGTCTCCTTTAAACACTGAGTGAAAAGCATGAATATAAGGGAAAACCTTGGATTCAAATGCAGGACATTGTGGTTATATTACACACATAAAAGGGATTAACCTTAAACTCATGTATAATCATTCAAGAAGACACCCCAACCAACCAAAGTTAATCGTTGGAGTTTTGACCTTTGTTAAAAATCTGTGAAATTACTTTTATTCATTATGAATTTAATGTGCTGATTTTCAGGATACAAATTAATATTTTCCAAGTGTGATCCTCTTTTTTAAACATCCTAATTCCAGTCCGTATACTTCCACTTCCAGGTCCATCCAAACATGCCAAATGTACAATGACACCCCTTCTTTCTCAGAAATGTTGGTTGGACATTGAACATGGGCTATAAATGTACTTTCACTCTGGGCAACGTCTAATGTGATGAAGATGAATATGATCAAATTCAATTACACTCTCCAGTCATTACATTTGACAGTCCCTGTAATATATTTCAACAAGTAGGGCTGTGGTGAACATGAATTTGTGATAATGATAATCATTCTCTGTGATACATTTTAACGATAATGACAGACCAAAGGAAAAGAGCGTTGGTGAACTAGAAAATAGTTGGCACCCACAAATTAAAAAACGTTTGATGTCCACATCCTTTTGATGTCTATATCCTCAGCAATCTAACCTAACTTAATACTGAACTTCAAATATGTATTCCTAAATTATTAGTAAATACAGTGGGAAATGTAGGCCTTGCCATTAATTGATTATATTAGGCGCAGCATGAGAGCGGCAAGCATTTTGAGTTTACTATTCATATAAACTTGCATTACATTGTAGCATGTACCTGTTGTGGAACGGATGATTATACTGAATTTATCAAATGTTTCAGATAAATTGTTTATTTCCGTTCATCCACAGACATCATAATTCCTGTACAGCCCATTTAGTCTATTGTTGTTCTAAAGGTATGCTGTAAGTATAAAATCATTTTTCTGGTGCATTTATGCCACTCATCACTCACTTAGACTGTCCTCTTGAGAAAATCCTTAGACAGTATTAGGTGATTTTGAATAGGCTTTAAACAACCCATATATGTATGTTTAGTATTAAACTGTTAAAGCACAAGGTAGGATGGCAGTATCTCAAACAACCACATTATTTTCATTGCATGGCTACATGTTAACTTGATTTGGAAGAGGATTGCAGAAATATTTCTAAATGTTTCTTTTTTTATGACCTGACCGTAACCTAATGGCAAATAAATGCTTTATTCATGCGTTAAACTCCCATAAGGCTAGCTTAAAAGCAGCTCTGTGCTTGCTCCATTTCTGAGCATCAGTGACCTACTACTTTTTTCAATCTGACTGTATATAAGTGGATAAAATAAAGTTTAATTATTGTGGTTGCAGCTTTTGATTATAATTAACTTATTACTTTATTACACATTTGCACCCGTGTGAAAATATCTATACCACAGGTTGTTGGCTATTTACACTCTCCCCGCCCTAAAATCCCTTTCCCCCTCACCTAGTCACATACAGTAATACCGTAAAGCACGGAATTAGCAGATTAGCAAAGGTAAGAGGTAGGATACATGATACAAGAACCAGAATTTAACTTTATACATCGGTTATGGTGACACATTGTTAAAGGTCCCATGTCATGCTTTTCCGGTTATTACCCGTCCCCTTGTGTGTTATGTAGCTTTTTCTTCATGTAAACCAGGGGTGGGGAACCTCCGGCCTCCGGGCCGTATATGGCCCGCGAGAACATTTGCTACGGCCCTCGAGGTAATTTATAAACACACGCAAAAAAGAAAATAATTCAAGAAATGTAGACCGCAAAATAACAAGCGAGTGCCTGTTTTTCCTGGCCAAGGTCAGGGTCTTTGAACACAACACGAGCCTAACGTGTCATCACGTGGTATATGTCTCGTCTGACAGGAGTGTAGTTCTAACGGAGAGCACCAGAACGCGGTTCCGGGCCGGGACGCGTCTATCGTTTATTCCAAGAATATCCATAAAGAAAAAAAATCTGCTTACAGTTTTGTTTCATATGGTTTCATATGTTGTTGAGAGATGTATCCATAGATCTATTAATTTTACTCTCAAAGTGCACGAGATTGATGCTTTTAACTTCAACATTAAAAAAAAATCTTCCTGGTTATTTGCAAATTATGGTGGAAAATAAGTATTTGGTCAATAACAAAAGTTCATATCAATACTTTGTTATATACCCTTTGTTGGCAATGACAGAGGTCAAACGTTCCCCCCCACTTAAATCATATCCACATGGATATGAAACTAAATACATTTGCACACATCTTGTGTCCATATATTTCTGTTTTGGTGGTCATGCCACGGTGCATGCATGTGCGGGTCATGGTCAAATATCTGGATTAAGAGGTTGCTTTTTCTTTGCACAGCATGAAAGAAAGGCGAAATGAATGGGCTGTCCCTCCATTCCCTACCTTCACTCTGCCTCTCCTCTCGCATCCACAGACTTACTACCCCCATAGACGACAGAACAACCCTCCCACCAGTTTCTCCCTCCCCTCCTTTCCTTTCTGCCTCCCCTCTAGTTCCTGGGTCAGGAGCCGGAGGGTCTCAGCTCATGCCAGGCTCCTCCGCCATACCTAGAGTTGGACGTGAAGCCAGCAAGACTCTCACGCGACTCATTCATAATAACAATCCCATCTAATCACGAACCACCTACTTCTCCTCCTTCTTCTCCATCCTTTCAGTCTCCCCCACTTGTTTCCGGGACGGACCTCCCCGGGAGGAGAGCAACCCAACGAGGACCATAACCTCCAGGAGTTTCCACCTTTCCCTACTCCGGACATCAGACAGCAAGCGTATGGAGATAGGGCTAGGAAGAGTGCCTGTAACTGGACCAGTTTCCGTTCGGCCGATTTTCCCTCTCTCCACTCGGTCGGAGATAAGTCGTTATTGGACGAGCAGTACAACAAGACTCATAACAGTACAATAACACGTAGGGTCGACAACCACAAGACAAACATGAAACAGTTTACAATATGACACCCACTTCGCCCAAACTACTTACGGACAAGTCGGGACCATGAGAAAAGTAGTAGGGGACACCCTTTCATAACCACTTTCACATAAACTAATTAAACACTTACCACCATACCGAACTCTTCAGATTTCATAACAAACACTCATTTACCTCAAGACCACCCTTCACTATACCCAATCGACCAGACCGGCACAGACCCGGGACGGCCCTGCCCACCCACCCTATCAAATCAAATTCAGGGGGGGGAGGGCGGATCGTCCCCTTCCCGGTCACTACCAAACCTTCTCCCCACACAAGTATGACGGACACTCGACCTCATCTCTTTTCCCCACCCCCATTTTTTTTAGTGTCTGTTATTTTTGTAGGTGTCCCTTTGATTAACACCGTGGATGCCTTCCACTACCCTTCTCCGTTAGTCTTTCTTTCATAAAGGTTATTTTTGTTTAAGTCAAACCGTGCCCTCCATGACCAACCTAAGTTATTATTACAGATTTCGTCCTGACGACCTTGAAACTATCAGAGTCTCTCCGGTAAAGTTAAAAATGTTTGTAGGAAGCTTCCCGGCATTGTTTAATAACTTGGAGTTTGAGTTGCAGGACGAATTTTTT